AATTATATGAAATTCCTAATGAATGAACATAAGATGAATTCATTACTTTAAAGATATTATCAGTATAGGGGTTATGGAGATTATTAGGTTTTTAATTTAGATCATGAACCGACTGATGTTAGACCACCGTTGGAAACTTGGAAGCACTGGACGACCGTTTCGTCCTATTGTGAGACTCCTCAGCGAGCGGGATCGTGGATGCGCAAAGCTGAGGAGCCCCACAATAGGACGAAACGGTCGTCCAGTGCTTCCAGGTTTCCAACGATGGTCTAAAATCAATCGGTTCATGATCTCAAACGAAAACATTAAAGATACTTCACATTGATAATTTCCGTGATTTATTTAATAAAACATGATAAAGAAATCTTCTTTTAGATATACATACATGTTATAATGGATAGTGGCTTATAGTGGAATCCATGATGCGCGTTTCACCCTAGTTAGAATTCATCAACTGGATGTACCTGAATCTCAGAGTTGATATTCCCTCTTGGAGTCGAACCACGTAGCATCGGTTTCAGAGGCCATCTCTTTATCCACTTAATTACTGTGTCCTGATAACCACTTTCTTGTGCAATGGGGTGAAGTTTAAATGCACTTGGGTTTTTTTTCTATCAATATTGGAATTCCCGAGGTTTGTCTCAAAGAATTACTTCTGAAATGTACAATGAATGTCTATTTCGTCTTTAATAACACATATTATAGATAAATTGATGGTATCGCTATGGGTTCACCTCTAGGTCCTATGCTTGAGAAACTAGAAAACGGAACTCTCAAAGATTTTATTGATAAGCTTGACTTATATTGTCGTTACGTTGATGATACTTTCATTATTGTCGATCAGAACAGTGGAAAAAAAGAACTATATTTAAAATATTTAACAACAAACATCCAGCGATTAAATTTACATATGAAGAGGAACTAGATAATAAACTACATTTCCTTGACGTTTTGTTGTATCAGTAGAAGTGCGTGTAGGAAAAGTTCTTCATCAAGCCAATACACACATAACACCATATATCGTCAAATCAACGGCGTAGCAATGGGAAGTTCACTAGGTCCAATTGTGGCAGATATTTTTATGGGGTATCTTGAAAACATGGTACTTAAACAGGCGATTAGCTAAATGACAGAATATTCCAGGTATGTGGACGGCACATTTATTATCTGTAACCATAAACAACATGCGATCCGCCTGCTAAAACTCTTCAATAACGCTCATCCCAACATACGATTTACTATGGAACACGAACAGAATGACATGTTCCACTTTCTTGATGTTGCTATAAAACGTAGGAAAGACGGGACAGTCCAACGTTCACTTTATCGAAAAATTACTTGGAATGGCGTTTACCTGAATTTCAACAGTTTTTGTTCACTCAGTTACAAGAAGGCATTAGTTAAAACACTATTTTATAGGGCAGAAAGGATATGTACCATTGACAAACTGGAAGAAGAATTAATGAACGTAGAAAAATGCCTACGAGACAACTTTTACCCACTAAAGTTTATTGACCAATATAAAAAGCGTAAAGAAAAAAATACTGAAGTAATTATGGTCAATAAAAAAATTACTATAAATTTTAACTTCAAAGGTGATGATGTTGCAAACACAATCAACAGGAGATTGAATACTGCGCTAGCCAGAACTTATCAGGCGGCCAAACTTCTAATTCTGTATAAAACAACATGTTCAATAACTCAATCAAAGGTTGAAAAGCATCCTTTTCATGTTACCGCCAATTGTATTTATAAATTTACATGTACCTGCCAAAGCAGCTACGTTTGCCGAACAGAAAGGAGAGCATATCTCAGGTTTTTTGAATATGTTCCAAAAAGCCTCAGAACAACAGAAAGAAAGACTTTAAATAGTGCAATCACCAAACATCTTCTTGATACAGGGCATCAGGTCGATACCCTACAATCATTCAAGGTGATTAGTAAGCAGCCAAACTCCAGTCTTCTGAAGTTTACTGAAACAGATGCTATAAGACGCCAAAAACCTGATTTATGTGTTCAAACGGAGACGGTTGTTAATCTTTCCTTGCCTTGGTGACAAATATTCTTTCTCTGCATCTTAAAATTTTATTTCTTTTGCACTTATCACATCATTGAGTTTTATTTCAACTATCTTCCAAATCAGTAATCTTATTTTATCAACTGAATTCTACTCATTTTATTCCTATCAATGTTCACTTGTTTCTAGCCGTTTGGACTGTTTGTCACAATGTTCTTTCATCACATAAGGTGTGTATATTTACAATATTAAGTCTATTCAATTTATTTACACCCTTGCTATTCTATACGAATATGTCTTCAATATAATTTCCAATCAAACCGTCTCATGTAAGTAATTTAAACCAACTATTTCATTATGATTCTTAAATATCACAGATTGTAAGCAGCTGATGAGAACTAAACAAAATAAAAAGTGAATTCATGCTATACTGTTAGAATGTTTGTTCATTGCTCTTTTCAAAACAAGATATAGTCATACAAGTTCAATGGAACTTAATGTGATGGTGAGCATTTCATTTGATCATTGGTGAGTTCGATCACACTATACAATTTGTACACTTGTTTTCACACTACCAATTTGTACTTTTCACTTATTTTTGTAATCTATCCCACTATTATCATCATTGACTCATAAACTACTTTGATTGGTTTAATGATTTCATATATGTGAATAAATACATTACTGCATCTTAGAATAAAGCTTGATGAAGATGTAATCGAAAACAATATTGGGCGAAACTATAATTTATAGACGAACCAATCAGGTATAAGATAATAGGTCTCGAATTTTGACGCGAAATTCATTCATCCTTTTGGCTAGAATACGTTTTAGCATCAAAGCTGATGTCAGCTTGTGATGAAAACCCTAAATCTAATTTCTAACTTTAATCATCAACTGTAAATCATAATTCGAATTCCTCACATACTGGTTTATAACCCTCATTTGGTCCTACTTATTAGGTATACACACTCTGAAAGTCAGTCTAGCATCGCTCAAAGGTCGTCTATAAATTATAGTCTCACCCAATATTGTTCAGTTATTTGTATTATCCTAAATAAAAAAAATTGGAGATTTCCAAAGAAAAAACAAAAAAAGTAAAAGGAAACAGAAAACTACCATTTCTAACTGTTTCTAGGATGCATCAAAGGGAAATTTTCTAATCAGCTGTGAAACATGTTTTCTTTCTTTTTTCTTTTATAATTATAAATATTTACATATTATTTCAGAAGGGGTTTTTGGGTGCGTATTATAGTAATTTCAATAGTTGAGATCATGAGTCAATTGAAGCTAGACTATCATGGAAAACTTGGAAGTACTGGACGGTCATTTTGTCCTACTGTGGAACTCCTCGATGGTCTAGTGGTCAAGCGTTCACGCGTGAGACTAATAGGTTCTGGGTTCAAATCTTCTGAGGCAGGATGGTGGTTGCGCACTGATAAGGAGTCCCACAGTAGGATGAAACGACTGTCTAGTGCTTCCAGGTTTTCCATGGTGATCTTGCTTCAACTGACTCATGATCTCAACTGTTACAATATACTATGTATTGATGTTAGTATTTAGTGATATATATAGGCATGCAAACTCATGTAATCATATATACTATCTGTTTACTAGTTCTTGTATGATTAACTCTGTCTGAATTGTAAGTTAAAATTCCCTCGGATTTCTGGTGATCAGTGGAGCTAATCTATGTCCGGTTATAGACAAGTGTCCATCTCAGACGATGGAAGATGGTCGCGTAATTTTGTGGATTGGTTGAAGTAAGATATTAACACTTTTGGTTACCTGTTCAGTGATCTAGAAGTTAAGCGTTCTCATGCGAGACTGAAGGACCTAGGTTCAAGGCTCACGTGTGAGATCTTGGATGCATACTGCTGAGTTGTCCCATACGGCCATTCTGTTACTTCCAGGTTTTTAATGGTGGTCAAACACCAATCGTTTCATGATCTGAACCAAAATCTGTCCAATCTCCACAACCCCATATTGATATTTATACAGATTTCACTCATCCGTCGTGACTTGTGTACTCAAAGTAATAATATATAGGTAGGGAATAGTTGAATAATTTTTCAACCAACACCAACGTCAGGATTTTCAATACAAATGACAAGACAGTTCTACTGTATGGGGCGGAAACTTGGAGAACTACGAAAGCCATCATCCAGAAGATACAGGTGTTTATTAACAGTTATCTACACAAAATACTTCGGACCCGTTGGTCGGACACTATTAGCAACAACCAACTGTGGGAAAGAACAAATCAGATCCCAGCGGAGGAAGAAATCAGGAAGTGTCACTGGAAGTGGATAGAACACACATTGGAGAACTCACCCAACTGCATCATAAGACAAGCCCTCACATGGAATCCCCATGGCCAAAGGAAAAGAAGAAGACCAAGAAACACATTACGCCGGGAAGTGGAGACAGACATGAGAAAGATGAACAAGAATTGGATGGAACTAGAAAAGAAGGCCCAGGATAGAGTGGGTTGAAGAATGCTGGTCGGCGGCCTATGCTCCATTGGGAGTAACAGGCGTAAGTTAGTAAGTAAGTAGGTAGGGGAATAGTTATATTAGAATGCAACATAAGTTTGTATCATTTCAAATTTCCATATACCAAATCAACATAAAGAAGATTTTATTGACAAAAGTGGTAGGTTATATTATTAAAGTAGTGATAATTATAATAACAGTGAAACAATTAAATATATAAATCATTATTCGGGTAGAATGTAGAAAATCAAGGTATGAAAGA